ATCTATCTCTCTCACTTCTCGTGTCTCTCTCTTTCTCTCTTTTTCTCTCTCTCTCCATCTCTCTTTGCATCTATCTATCGCTCTCTCTCTTTCCTCTCTCTCTATCTCTCTCTCCTTCTTTCACACACACACACACACACACACACCACACCACACACACCACACAACACACACAACACACACACACACACACACACACACACGCGCGCGGCGCTGCGCACACCAGCACACACACACACACACACACACACACACACACACGCCTCCCCACACACACATATACACTGGCATTTCGCTCTATCGCGAAAAGACGCAATACGGGTCCTGCGGGAAATCACGGGGGTGGCGGAGAATAACTGCACCTCTGCTGGTGGTGTCGCAGGCTACCTTTCCGATATTACTGTAATCAGCGTCCACTTTTCCGCCAAGGTCTAAGCTATCATCGCTGGGACGAATCCATGCTGATTACTGAATCCATGAAATACCTACAACTAGGTACGCGTTAATGATGGCTTCCCGCGTAGCGAACACGTGACCGACTCGCGCCGACGACGTAACTTGACATCACGTGCAATGCATGCAATCATCATGTGTTTCTTCTTTCTCTCTCGCCACCTTTTCTTCCTCCCTATTTCTCACGCACTCCCCCCCCCCTCAGCACGCCATTTACAGTTCTAGTAGATTGTTAAGCTGATGAGGAAAGGCGTCTGTGGAAGCGTGTCAAGAAAGAGCGCGTAGAGAAAGAATTAACGTGTAGAGAAATAGCGTCGAGCAGGAGTGTAGAGAAGGAGTGTAGAGAAGGAGTGTAGAGAAGGAGTGTAGAGAAGGAGTGTAGAGAAGAAACGTAGAGAAGGAGTGTAGAGCAGGAGTGTAAAGAAGGAGTGATTAGAAGAAGCGAGGTGTAGAGCAGGAGTGTAGAGAAGGAGTGTAGAGAAGGAGTGTAGAGAAGGAGTGTGGATAAGCGTGTTTGTGTTCCCCCTGGCGAAGAATTAAACCCCGCGCATGCGCAGATCACTGCGATGGCCGGTGCGCGTGTATGGTTGACTGGCATGCACGCACGCACGCACGCACGCACACACACACGCACGCACGCGCGCGCGCACGCGATGGACGCTCGCCTATTACCCGCGTGATGAAAATATTACTTGCGGACTATATATCGATATTTTGCTCCGGGCAAACTAGAGCTATTACGGCATAACAATTATGCTATATATATATATATATACATGTACGCGCCATTACGCGTGTCGTGTAAAATGCGTGTGGGAAGTCACGCAAACGTAAACGCGCTGAGAAACAAGCAAAGCTTGCATGGCTCTATAGCTAGCTGTGTAGCGCTGCTAACTTCATAGCTCAGTGACTAGGCATCGAGTGATATGTTTGGCGAACCTATATGCACACAAGGATTGTGGCAGTGGATCTGTGTCCTGTAGAGACGGTCCATGCCCTCTGCGCTACACATGCGGGGGCGGTGGTATTGGATGGGTTAGCTGGGCAGAAGGCTGTGCGATCATAAGTGAAATACAGCGTACTGTTAGAAGATCCGGTGCAGTAACTCACGGGCTCGCAGGCCTTCAATGTCTGTCACGGAGGCCGGATGAGGCGTGCTGCTTACGGTGTACATAGTATGATCGGGTGTACTAAACAATGGTAACCCAGACCTCTGCCGCCAAACCGAGAAGCTGTCCGCTCTACCTAATCTACTATCAAGAATAAATCGGCTTTTCTGCTAAACAGGCGTTCAGTCTCTTTTGGCTCACACACCTCACCTCTTTCTTACGCGCGTGCAGGCGGAAAGCGTACTAAACTTACGCCGCTTCGTCGGGGCGACACTATCTCTTGCGATTTAAGCGATCTATTCTACTCGAAAATAAAACTTATATAGTCAAACACACAGATTTTCGCATAACCAGAAAAATATCTGAAAATAAATCGTTGATGGTTTTTGGGAAGTTTTTTTAGAGGGGGAGCGGGGGATAGCATCGGGAAATTGTTTTTTCTGGAGCGCGCTATCCCTGCCTGTGCATGCACGTTGGGATACTCTAACACGAATCTATTAAGATGGGAGGTTGCGAGATTTTTTTCGCCTGAGAGCACTCTCTGAGCAATTGCATATCCCCGATGATCAGAAAAATCCATGCATATTTATTTATATCTGATCGAGTCGCGAAGCTGAGTTACCGCCGATTTGTTCTTATGTCGATGATGCCTCTGCGTGCGGCGTGCGCCACCGGTTGTTGCCCCTTTGTTTATAGAATCGGTACCCTCTCCGGCCAATCCACAGGTAAACTGCGCAGGGTCCGCGACGCAGCAGCGGGGGGCAGCCAGGGTGGGCGCATGCGTGTGTGTGTGTGTGTGTGTGGTGTGTGTGTGTGTGTGTGAGCCGCGCGCGCAGCCCAATGGCCGTAGAGGCAGGGGCAGGCCAGGGGCAGTTGCCCACCCCTAGAGATTTTGCAGGAGTATGCTCTTTAATCGGGACAAATTACTGTACACTTATTAAGGATATGAATAGAATGTGACAAAAAGGTTATCTTAAATCCATCCCAAAGGAAATATTCCACTTTAAATTAAAGAAATGTATAGATGGGCTCCGAAACGTTGTGTCGCCGTTGTGTGGACAGGGGCATGTGTGAGTACCTTTGCCCCCCTAACAGAATTTCCTCCGCGACGCCTGGTTGCCCCCCCTAGAGATGTTCAGAGTATGCTTTTAAATTGTGGGTCGACGATGTGATAGTTCGGTACACTTTTAGCAAATAAATAGAGAATTGAACAACGATGGGTTTCTTAATCATCAAGAAAATTTACTTAAATATAAGAAATGTGAAAATTGCAACTTTAGGCACAGGGGCATGCGGGATACACTTTTGCCCCCTCAGAAAATTTCTCGAGTACGGCTCCTGTCGTAGTGCGTGTGTGTGGGGACAACACTCCCCCTCTAATATTTGGTCGTCGATAATTTTCTTCCAATAGTTTTCCTCCGTGTGTGAGTTATCCTTTGCCTGTTGTTTGTGCCGGCGTAGCGAGACGGCTAAATGTTGTTGTTGTGGTAGTACCTATACCATCAGTCTCACGATGGCCCACATAGATGGTGGTGCCATGTGTGATAGTGTTGTGTTTGTGTGTGTAAATTTGGAAAGTAACAGGATACTGGCCACAAAGTGTGGCGCGGCGTGTAGCACTGGTGTGTGTTGGGTGTGTGTCGGTGTGGGCCGTGGGGGTCAAGGGGTCCAGGACAAGACCTGCATAAACGAAGAAACGGAATCTTGGTGAGGTGTGTTTATTTCGAAAATAGAATTTTGTTGGGTGGTGGTGAGGTGACTTGGTAAGTTGGGGTTGGTGTGAGTCGCAGTGTCGTGTGATCTGGTACGGGTGTGTGTGTGTGTGTGTGTGGATATAAACGAGTAATGTTTTAAGTGTCTGAATCGGAACATTTGTGGATGTGTGTGAGTGTTTTGAGTTGAATTTGGGGTTTGGTGAAAAATGGTATGAGGTAAAGTAATGGTAGATTGTGAAGTGGAATTGGAGTGAGGTTTTGGTGGGCGAAGAGTCGGGCACCGAATGGGGTGTGTGTGTATGTTATGTTTTACACAAGCTGATATACACACAGGACGAAGTTATAATGGCAGCCATATTGTCATCGTTAATACTCTATTCGTTCCACACGGATAATTTATTCGCAACAACTGCGTGCATTTTACAAAACCTTCTAGCTAAAAAAAAAGCTTTCGCTAGCAAAATATTTAATGGCAGTTTCAAAAGTTTCATACAGATATTCAAGCGTAACTAGTTTTACCAACAATGCCCGACGGAACACGTAACCACAATCGCCATTTGCCCTCGTTACATCAACTTGCAACAACAAAAGCAAAACCTGTCTATCGAAAATGCATAATTTTTTTATCTTAACTACACGTTGTTTTTTCCCGACAACGGCCGTCTGGTAAAATGGGCGCAATTTATGCAATATGTGAGTATTGCGTTTAGAGGCTTTTAGGTAGGCGTTTCATAAAGCTAACGTATAATAACCTCATTTCATATGCATGGAAGACGCTCATGTATGAAGTTGGATAGAGATGACATCACAGTGATTTCTCTCTCTCTCTCTCTCTCTCTCTCTCTCTCTCTCTCTCTCTTCTCTCTCAATCTCTCTGCTCTCTGCAAGTCGGTCAATCTTCTCCCTCGCGGTTTCTTGCTTTCTCTCGCGCGCTTCCTTTCTCTCTCTCCGCTCTCTGCTTCGTCTGTCGGCTCTCGTCTCTCGCGCTCTTAGGCATCATATCGCTCAAGCTAACCTCTCTCTACCCTCTCTTCCCCTTCTCTTCTATCCCTCTCCTAGCTCGTCTCTTCTCTTTCTCTCTCGTTGTGGCTCTCGCTCTCTTTTCCATCCGTCTCTTTTGCGGGTCGTCCTCTATGCGTGATCTGCTTTGCTGTCTGCGTCTCGTCTGTGCTCTGAGGGCTACTTGCGGTCTCCACGTCTCTCTCCATCCCTCTATCTCACTCTCTCTCTCTCTCTCTCTCTTCGTCTTTCTCTCTCTCTCCCTCTCTCGCTCTATCGCTCTCCCTCTCTACCTCTCTCCCTGTACCTGGCCAATTGCGTTTGTTTTCCTCTCAATGATGCATGTACAGAATCTGACAATCCGATCTATAACAAAACAATCTTTTTCCCTCAAAATGCTTTTGCCCTCGTGAAATGCCAATGAAAAAGAAGGTGATTATTTTTTTAAGATGTTGTTACTAGGGCCTCAACTTGCAACAACAAAAGCAAAACCTGTCTATCGAAACCCATCCCCCATCAAAATTTTTCTCGGGTATCTGGGCAATAATCCTACACGTTGCTTTTTTTCCGACAACGGCGGCCTCCCTCACCTCTCCTCCCTTCCCCTCTCTCCTCCCCTCCCTTTTCGCTCCACTCCCCTCCCTCACCTCTCCTCCCTTCCCCTCTCTCCTCCCCTCCCCCTCCGCTCCACTCCCCTCCCTTCTCCTCCGCCTCCTTCACTTACCTTTCGCTTGGAGCGCTCCAGCCGCTGGTCCCTCGAGTCCTCCGCTTCTCCCGGCGGTCGCTTTCCCCACAGGTGATAGCAGATGACCGAGTAGGTCACGCTGAGCGCTAGCAACGGCGCGAGGTACTGCAGCGTCATTAGCGACCAGCTGTAGGCGTTCTGCGCCTTTGGCGGCAACCAATCTTCCTCGCAGTGGTCGCCTCGCGCGCCGTCGCGTCGCACGTACGTTACCACCGTCGAGGTGACGGCTATCGGCACGGGCACGGCCAGCGAGACCAACCAGACGATGCCGATGATGGCTTTCGCTTGACCGCCGGTCAGGCGCGGCCGGAGCGGGTACACGATCGCGTGGAAGCGGTCCAGGCTGATGGCCACCATCGTGTAAGCGCTGAGGAAGACGGAGACGGCTTGTACGTAGCCGACCACCGGGCAAAGCGCGTCGCCGAACGGCCAGTAGTCCAGCAGCTGATTAGCGACGAAGTCGAAAGGGATGCAGAGCAACGCCATGAGGATGTCGCCGACGGCGAGGTTGACAATGAAGTAGTTGGTCGTCGTGCGCATGCGCTGGTAGCCGATCACGATATAGCAGACGATGGCATTCCCTCCGCTAGCGAGCACGCAGATGGCTGTGTACATCAACACCATGACGGCTTGCATCGCCGGCGGGATCGCTTGGTCGTCGTCGGCGAACGGGTAGGGGGCGCTGCTGACGTTCGTCGCCGTCGCGTTCGCCGGGAACGCCGCCGTTGTCGCCATATTGGTTGTTTTTGGTTGTCGATGGTCGGAGGGTTGGAGTGTGGGCGTGCTAGACCTGCGGGTGAAAATAGATGAGGGATGTTAAAGAAGATATATAGGAGAAGCGATATAGATTAGAGAAATAGCGAGAGAATACAGCGTTGCTGCTGCTGGTGGTGAAATCAGAAGTGAAAACATATACATAGAAACACTCGCACGCGCACACATACGCGCACACGCGCGCACACATACGCGCACACGCGCGCACACACACACACACACACACACACACACACACACACACACACACACACACATACATACGCACACAACACACACAGACACACACACACACGCACTCACGCACGCACACACACACATGAGGGGGCGCGCACGCGTTTAGTTTACATATTTTATTACGTTATTTCATTTGTTCATTAATGTATTTATGTTCGTGGCGACCGTGAGCAATTTGCTCATTTCAAGCAAACCTAGGAACGACAGTAAATCAAATCAAGTTGTACGGGGCGCCATGCAAGACAGGGCTCAATTTTGTCTAACAAAACTCAATTCTGTCTCACAAAAGCTCAATTTTGTAAACACATAACTCAAATTCTCGTCAATCCTGTACCACAAAAACTCAATTTGTAAACACAAAACTCAATCTGTCAATCCGGCTTCCACCAAAACTCAATTTGTGAACACAAAACTTTCAATTCTGTCAATCCTGCTTCCACAAAACTCAAATTCATGTCGAAACCGCGTTCCACAGAACCAATTTGTAAACACAAAACTTCCAATTCTGTCGAACCGGTTCACAACAACTCGCTTTGTTGCCCAAATATGGCCACACGCATGTAAGAAGGGCTACCGATTGCCGTTTCTTCACAATGGTAGCCTTCTTACATCGTGTGCCATTATTTCGGCAACAATAATCGAGTTTTGTGAGAACCGGTTCGACAGAATTGACCCTGTCCTGCATTGGCGCCCCGATATGCCCCGTCAGTCCACAAAACTCAATTTTGATGAACACAAAACTCAATTCTGTCGAATCCTGTACCCACAAACTCAATTTTGTAAACACAAAACTCAATTCTGCTCGAACCGGTTCCACAATAACTCGATTTTGTTGCCCAAGTATGCGCCAACATGTAACAAGGGCTAACACTTGGTTTCTTCTGACTTAATGGTATGCCCTGTCTTTACATGCGTTGTGCCATATTGGGCAACAAAATCGAGTTTTTGTGGAACCGGTTCGGACAGAATTGAGCCCTGTCCTGCATGCGCGCCCCGTACGCAATGCCAGGACAGGGCACTCAATTCGATTTTGTTGCCCAAATATGCACACGCATGTAAGAGGTACATTAGTCAGAAGAAACCAATGTAGGCCGTGTGGCTTACATGCGGTGTATATTTGGGCCAACAAATCGAGTTTGTGGAACCGGTTTCGACAGAATGAGTTTTGTGTTTACAAAATTGAGTTTGGTGGAACCGGTTCGACAGAATTGAGTTTTTGTGTTTACTAAATGGAGGTTTTGTGAACGGTTCCACAGCAATTGAGTTTTGCTGTTTTACAAAATGAGTTCTTGTGGAACCGGTTCGCACAGAATGAGTTTTGTGTGTTACAAAATGAGTTTTGTGAACCGGTTTGATTAGAATGAGCTTTTTGTGTTCACAAAAATTGAGTTTTGTGCGCGACAGGATTGACAGAAAATGAGTTTTGTGTTGCACAAAACTCATTTTTGTCAAGTTTATAGGCATACAAAAATGCCTGGTCCTGCCATGCGCGCCCCGTACAGTTGCACGCTAGCTCATTCCGTTGCCTTAATTATGGCATCCACATGACATGGCGAAATTTCGCTTTTATACATTTATAAATTCAACTTAACTAAAAGCAATATATATTATATATATAGACGAGAGAGAGAGAGGCAGAAATAGAGAGAGAGACGACTGGCAGGCGGCCAGGTACGGTAGTAGCGGGACAGAGAGAGAGCGGAAGGCGGAGAGAGAGAGAGAGAGAGACGGAGAAGGGTGAGAGACGAGACGACACAGCCGAGACGAGAAGATGAGAGAGAGGGAGAGAGAGAGCGCTCGCGAAAGAGAGAGCGCTCGCGAGAGAGAGAGCAAGAGAGAGTGGGAGAAGGGATAAAGAGAGAGAGAGAGAGAGAGGGAAGTAGACGAGAGAGAGTGAGAGAGAAGTAGACGAGACAGACAGCCTAATATATTGCAAAAACGTAAAAGCGCAACTAAATCTTATGTCGTTATCATTGCAATAGCGCATACGTCAGCTAATGTTCACTAACTAGTCACATTGCTCGCCTTCGTCTGAAAAAAAATTTGCAAAATTGAAAGATTCCACGACATGACAGCACGCACGCCATCGTTTTCGTGAAAATTCGCTCGCTATTAATTCTCAGACGAGATTGCCACATGCTTGCTTTTTCGAATGGCCCTCGCGTGCACTGACGCATAATCTCGTTGCTATGAGAACGCGTAATGGACGTCGCTAACATCAAACACATTAGTCTAATCTCTCTCTCCCTCTCTCTCTCTCTCTCTCTCTCTCTCTCTCTCTCTTCGCTCTCTCTCTCTCTCTCTCTCTCTCTCTCGCTCTCTCTCTCTCTCTCTCTCTCTCTCTCTCTTTCTCTCTCTCCTTCTGCCTCTCTGTAATTATCGGTATTGATATTAGAAGATAACGTGTCTGTCGGTGGTATTAGAATATAGGCAAAGCTCACGGTCAAGATTGATTAAGAAGTATTCCGTATGTAATTAGTATACAGGCTTTTAGCAACGGGCTGCCTCTGTTAGTGCAGTGTATATCTAACGCACTTGTAGAACGAATGGACGCATATTAGTATACGCACTTAAATAAACAAGCAATAAATAATAAATAAATAAAAAAACACCAAATAAACAAGCAAATAAATATTAAATTATCAAATAAACAAGCAAATAAATAAATAAGCAGACATGTAAACAGAAAGAATACAAACAAAACAAACAAATAAACAAACAAACAAATCCGACTACCGTATGATCTTTCAGTGCTGGATGCGATACTATATACTGTAGTGCGTGCGTGCAGGATGTCGGTGCCGCGGCCGTGCCTTGCATCTNGAGAGAGAGAGAGAGAGACAGAGAGAGCGCGCTCTAGAGAGATATGGATGGGTCTCGCGACAGTAAACGCTAGAATAACGAGATGCCGTCCGCGACAATCACCACCTCCGCCGTCGCCGCCGACGCCCTGACCTAGATGTCAGCAGAGGGAGCTGCCTGCGTGATTTATCTGCCGACGCGCAAGTATTAAGTCGACGACATGGCCGACCGACCAACTGCTCGATTGCCGACACCGGGGCAATGTGTGGCCGAGAAATGTGGTTTACGTGCGTGCATGCGCTAATGATAGAGATAGGGAGAGATGCTGATGATGGCGACGTTGACGATGACGACACTGCCGATGGCGACGTTGACGATGGCGCTAATTCGCCGCTCTTACCCGGTGTCTAGTTGCTTCGGCCCTACGCAGACGCTCGCTTTCCTATTAGAACTCGCCTGCTGTTATTAACGAACTGGAGAGAGGCCGTAACATATGTAAATTACCCCAGTATTATTAGAAACGAGAGCAGATTAGAATTGAGTTGCGAGGGACGAAATGCGAGAGCACGCGGGTCTGGCGTGTGCGTGTGCGTGTGCGTGCGTAGCCGGTAACAACACGTAAAGTAGTGTGCGGTACGGCGAGGCACATACGCGGTATTTATTGGTTAGATGTTCACACGCGAGGTTATAGTTCTCTCTCTCTCTCTCTCTCTCTTCTTTCGTCGCGCGCGCTTTCTCCCGCTCTCTCTCTCTCGCGCGCTCTCTCTCTCTATCTGTCTCTCTCTCTCTTGCATGCGCGCGCTCTCTCT